AGACTCCAACTCAAAAAAAAAAAAAAAAAATCAAAACCAAACAACAAAATAAATAAAAGAAAGTGTTCTGACTGGGTTGCTTGTGGGGTCAAGCATCCCCTTCTGTTTTCTAGTCATCTATCTGTTTTCTCAGAGTCAGTTTGTGCCCTTAGTATGCTTCCAGAGGTTTCTGATGGAGCAAACTTAGAATGGGTGCTAAAGGCTGGGTGTGGTGGCTCAAGCCTGTAATTTCAGCACATTGAAGGCAAGGCAGGAGGATTGTTTGAGACCAGGAGTTCAAACCAGCCTGGGTAACATAGTGAGATTCCAACCCTACCAAAATAAATAAATAAATAAATATTTTAAGTATGGTAAAAAGGGAATGTGATAACGAAGTTGTGATGGAGAATGATGACAGGAGAGGGAGGGGTGCTGGGAAATTCTCACGCCCGATTCCCAGCACTTCCCCTTGAAGCTGAATATTTCCTTTTCTCTGGTTTAGGTTTCTTCTCTTTCCCTCCACCTTTTTTATCCAGGCCAGATTTTTTTTTAAAGATTCCATCCCCCCTCCTCTATGATAATTTATTCTATCCAGTATCTTCTTTCTCAATCATTCTGTCTGGAGGCATTCTAGCCAGAAGGACAGAACAGCCTCATCTGAGCTTTTCCCAGGAGGAACAGCATGTTATAATATTAAGAACAAAATGATAATCATATCTCAATTTTAATAGAATACTGATATTTTTGGCATGCTTGAAGTACCCTTGCAGCTGGAGAATTTCACCACCAACAGCAGTATTCAAACCAAGCTGTGGAGACATGAGCCTTGGGGGTCAGCTGAAACCTAAATAATCTGCAGAATTTGGGTTGCATTTTAGCCACTGGTTTTGTGCCTGTTGTTATTGCAGCCTAGTTCCTCAGGAAGCAGAGAAAGACACTCCCTTCCACAATGTTCAACTAAGGCTATACCATGCAGAAATTAGACTGAGTGGTTTGAAGTGGCAGATGAAACACACTATGGCCACTATTTTTGTTTCTTTTTAATTTATAAATCCAGTAGAATCATTTTTGGAAGGTCAAAAGTAGATGAAGTCATGATCAAATGTTGAGGGAGCCACAGCTTAGGTGAGGCAGGAGTAAGGCTCATAGAAAGAAATATGGATTTTAGGGACTCCTTTGGAACCCTGGGACGCTTTGGGCTTTGGAAATATCAGGTACTGTGAAGGATAGAGGTGAGATTCGGGCCTAAAACAGGCACATTCATTAAAAGACTCTAATGTGTGGTCTATAATACTCAATAATCTATCACAGAAACAAAGAACTGAGCACCACATGTGCTCACCCATAAGTGGCCCCTGAATATTTACTGTAAGAAAGGGACTGTCAGCTGGGCTCAGTGGCTCAAGCCTGTAATCCCAGCGCTTTGGGGTGGAGATGAGAGGAATGCCTTAGCTCAGGAGTTCGAGACAAGCCTGAGCAACATGACGAGACCTCGTTTGTACAATAAATCAAAAAATTATCCAGGAATGGTGTCACATGCCTGTGGTTCCAGCTACTTGGAAGGCTGAGGCTGAAGGATCACCTCAGCCCAGCAGCTCGAGGCCGCGGTGGCTGTGAGCATGCCTCTGCACTCAGGCCTGGTTGACAGAGTGAGACTCCAACTCAAAAAAGAAAAAAAAGAAAAAGAAAAAGAAAGGGATTCCCAGTATGGAGATACTGCTGGGGGAGGGGTGAGCCTACCTAATCCTGAACTGTACCCCACACCTTTAAAAGAAAAAAAAAAAAGAAAAAGAAAACCGTAGAATAGAAAAAAGTCTACTTTTTGAAAGTATATAAATGTCAAATATATAAAAATAATTTTTATGAGTTTTTTAAGGGAAAACTGTAAGTATGAGAAATTTTCTTAGAGTAAATATAATGCTAAAACAAAATATTGAAGTAAAAAAATTCCACTAATTTTATTCCTTGATTTACTTTAAAGTTTTAATGAGTTTTTAATCCCTTGCCTCAAGAAATTTAGTAAAGATTTATGGTCAAATGTTAAAAAAAAAGACTAATGTGGGAACAGTCCCTACTGCCTCCCCAGGTCCAGCCCTTGCAGAAGGACAGCATTCACACATCGCACATCACCCTCAACCCCTACCCCCACTCCCCATCCCCCCACCTTACCCCCATTCCCCTCATTCCATCCCCCATCCCCCAACCCCTCTCCCACCTACAAAAGAGCAGAGACTTCTCCGGGGAAATAGAAAACCGCATGGGGGGAAGACATTTCCCAATTCTGGTATTTAGGGGGGTCTCCCATTATAAGATTCTATCTATCTTTCTCACCCTAAAACAAAGGTTTCCAGTTTACAATCCTCTCCTACGAGCTCCCTAATCAGATATTCTGGGCCTCACTTTTAAATATGAATGGGGAGGGGGGGTGGGACTGGCAGTTGAGGGAAACTGCTAGGGGAGGGAGGGACATGCCTCATCAATAAGGGTATCTGCATGATCAATGTTTGTATACCTAACCCCGAATAGTACTCCACATCTTTATAATAAATAAATTAATTTAGAATAAAATAAGAATTTGCTGAAAATCAACCGTGAAGAACTAAAAAAATAAAAAATAAAAATAAATAAATATGAACAGGCAGGCAAAAATCACTAAATGCTTGAGGTAAGTCACTGTGATGGTTACTTTTGTGTGTCAATTTGACTAAGCTATAGTTATTCAGTCAAACACTATTCTAGGTGTTTTTGTGACGGTTTCCTAGATGTGATTAACATCTATAATCCATTGACTTTTTAAGCATAGGAGATTATCCTTGAAAACCTGGGTGGTCTCATCCAATCAGTTGAAAAGCATTAGCAACAAAACTGAAGTCTCCTTGAGGAAGAAGAAATTCTGCCTGAAGTCTAAGCATCAATTATTGCCTGAGAATTTCCAGCCTGCTGGCCTGCCCTACATATTTCAAAACTGCCTATCAGCCCTGCCCCCATGATCCTATAAATCAATTCCTTGATATAATCTCCTCCCGTCTGTGTGCTCTCTCTCTGTCTCAATTTTCACCTCTGTTTGCCAGTCTCTCTCTGCCTCTGTGTGTCACTCTCTGTCAATAGATTATATATGTATGTATATAATACACATATATAGAGCACACATGCATATACATACAAAATTCTTACTGGTTCTTGTTTCTCTGGTAGAACTCTGACAAACACAAGTTATCAAATGCAAAAAGAGACCAAGACAAACAGTGAAAATAATATGGGCCGTGCCTGCCTTGCCAAACACCTACCACTCTACTTTCTTGTACACTTCGATCCAGCCACACTAGCCTTCTTAGTATCCTGGAACACAGCCCATTTTTTTTTCTTTTCAGATCCCATTACTCCTGGGGTTGTCTCCCACTGCAGTGGTATACCTAGCCTGCTCCTCCATCATATTAAGGACTCTGCTCAAGTGTTCTCTCCACAGAGACACCTTCCCAGACCACTCTGTTTAAAACACACACCTACACCAATTCCCACACATTCCGCCCACTGTCTTGTTCATGTATAGCAATGACAACTTTGTTAAATATTATTTATTTATACATTTACTAGTTTCTCGTCTGACTGCCCCCACTAGTATGAAAACTCCATGACAGGGACATTTTGTGTATTTTTCACTGTTGTGTCACCGTCACCTAAAACAGTACCTGATCTTTGAAGAGTTGATGTGTAGAGTTGAAGTGTAAGTGGATAAATAAGTGGAGAAATCCCTGGAAGAAACTGAAGTTAAGGAAACAGTGAACTTTATTTATTTATTTATTTATTTTTGAGTTGGAGTCTCACTCTGTCACCCAGACTGGAGTGCAGTGACCGCTCCCAGGTACCGCAGCCTCGACCTGCTGGGCTCCGGCGATCCTTCCGCCTCAGCCTTCCAAGTAGCTGGAACTACAGGTGCGCGCTACTACGCCCAACTAATTTTTGATTTATTGTAGAGATAAGGTCTCACCAAGTTGCCCAGGTGGGTCTCGAACGTGTGGGCTCAGGCAATTCACTCACCTCAGCCTCCCAAAGGTGTGGGATTACAGGCTGAGCCACCGAGCTAGGCTTGAAACAGTGAACTTTAAAAATGATGCTCATTGGTTATACACAGAAAGATTCAAATCATTATTGTAATGCATAAACAATAATGGAATACTAAGAACAAGAAACAGTTGAAGTTGAAGAAAAATAACTTTTAGAGCTGAAAGGGATTGAAAAA